GACGACGACATCAACGCAAACATGGAGTCGATGGAGAAGTCGACGAACGGCGACCACGAGAACGGCTCCAACGACTCCTCCAAAGGCAACGAAGTCTACTCCAAACTCAGCGCATCGGCCAATGATAAGAGTCTGACAGTTGCGTGACTTTGATTAGTAGATGTAATTAACAAACAAACAAACAGTCATTAATATATATAGGCTTTTAGCGGCTGAAGAAGTTGAGCGATCATTGAAAATACGTTTTTTATATTATTGATTATATCATGATTTATATATGATTTTTTAAAACTAATGAAAAAATATTGAATAACTCTTTTCCATTTGTTTAGATTGAAAAATTCGTTGACAACTAATCGTAATATAATTTGCCATTAGTTGTGAGACCAATGAATTGTTGCACAAAAAAATACAATTATTACATGAGAATTGAATTACATTTGTCACACACGACACACACTTTCGTATATCGATTATTAATCTATAAAAGTATTTCTTCATATCTATTGTCATTTATTATCTGAAAAGAATTTTTAAGCAAAAATTATAGCAAATGTTTTTTTAAATAATTTATAAATTTAATAGCTTTTTGACTACATATATGTATTGATTTATACATTCATTTAAATAACTAGTCATTCAAAGTAACAAATATTGTTTTTGTGTTTGTTTTTAATACAGAATTCTGTATATAATAATTCATTTGGAAATATTGTTAACAATACCATCAAAAATATAATTATTATGATTAAGTGTAGTCTGTATTTACATTTAATGTCAGCATTAAAACTGTAGATATGTTTGCATAATAAATAATTTCATTGTCTTATTACATGTTTAATAAAGCATTATGGTTAATTGCTTTTAAAATACGTTCAAATACATGCAAATTATTTGTAACAACACATAAGCCATTCTTATACCGGTCCCACAATTTGTTACTGTATAGTCATTTGTGTTTAGCGCATATTTCACTATGTATTGCTATTAGATAAATGTCATAATTAATACTTAATTACATAATTTACATGACGTGATGTATAACACGATTTGAATTAAAAAATCAATTAATTAAAAATAAATTTTAAAAGATGGTAAAAAAATATTGTAAAAAGATAGTTGCGTCCGCGACAGGATTCGAACCTGCAATCTTCTGATTCGAAGTCAGACGCCTTATCCATTAGGCCACGCGGACTTATATAAATTCTAGAGTCCACACAGGCCAACTATTGTATAAGTTAACTGGCTATTTAAGTCATTCAATTGATTCATTATGATCGCATGTTTAACTATTGGATTAAATGATATTAGTATTAACTGTTAAATACATACCTCTCTATACTGATGGACTATTGGCACCCACTGTGCGCCCAAACTAACCCAATAAAAAACATTAAACAATCGTGCTTAACAATTTAATTTACCATGCTAGTAGATATAAAACATGTATGACTAAAAATTTGTTTAAATTAATTTATAGATATATTAATAATTGATGAAAAAATGAATGGTAACTATAAAAATGAAAATAGAAAACAATATGAATAAACTTTTAAAGTTGGGATAAAATTGTGATAAAAATACATTACATGCTGTATTTCATTCAAAAACTTGTCCGAGTTTATACACATCCGGAATATTCTTATAATATTTATCACACATTAAAAAAGTAATGCAAAAAACACATCAATTTATAGGGAAAAGGATGAAAGAGAGTATAACTTGTATCACAAAAAACACATAATCAGCGAAAGCGCCTCACATTAGCTCTGATTCCTCCCAAAGTATCGATTCATCTCTTTATCTCTGTTTATATGAGAAAACTGTACACAAAATAAATATTGAAAACACAGATATTGTGACCAAATATGTGTGGCCAACAAAAAAGGTGTCAATTAAATGCTTAGACCGATGAAGAAATGGTCAAAAAGTGGTCGCTGTATATGACGGCCAAACCGGGCCTACAGTTCCTGTATTGGGCCAAATGGGCGCTCGCAGTGATCATTGTCTGGATCATCACTTTACTGGTC